GTTTAAGGAGACATCTTTCTGCACACTTGAGTGCTCACTTTTTCCCCTCTGGAGTTGCTTTGTTATTGCAAATTGACAACTTTGCAATTAAAGTGATTAATGATGTACCCTCGTGTTTATCAGTCTTGAGGTCAGTGAGCCCAAAGATGGCCATGCTGTGGGAAACTTAGATAGAGCTCATCTCACAAAAGAGGAACTAAAAATCTTCCTGTTTTCTGTATGATTGTTTATGAGTTAAGTATATTAGATATGGTTGAAGGAGTCACCAGGACATAATGAGTAATGTGAATAATCTTTATCAGTCTAGTTTTGTTGCTTAATTCCTCATTCTTAAATAGCAGTGTGAACATTCATTGGCTACTTTATTAACTCAAAGCACATTATTTTATAAAGCAGTATTAGAAAAATGCATTAAATCATTAAAATATAACTTAAATATAGAACTAACCATTGGGTGTTCATAGATGCAGTTTTGTTTGAATATAGTCCTTGATAGAGCTATTGCTTATTTATGGCATTATTTTTCCTATACATTATTGTAACCAGGGTATCACAATTCTAGTTTCTAACAAAATCCATTACAAAATTCCTTTCAGCTCTTTGGCCAGAAGTTCTGAAACTGGTTGCAGTGCATTAGAGATTTTTATTTTGGATACTGCTCTTAAAAAATCAGTCAACTTTCAAAATAGATTGTTATAGCCACACTGCTGGCTTTGTTCTTTGAATTCCTTGAGCTGAGGAGAGTACTGGGCCAAGGCACTAGTCTCTCACCATCGTGGCTTACTCCCGTACAGTGGCTTTGCACTAACAGAAGAGAGAACAATAAGCCAATTGTTGAGCCCATGGCACTAAGCCATTGCCAAGATCTCTGCTGGTTTGAAACACACACTCCACCGAAGGCCCTTGTGATGATCACTGTGGTCGAAAGGGAGCTAAATTATCCCACTGCATATTTCCTACGATTTGAAGAGAAAAATATAGGAATAATTTTTAATAATTGCACCTCAGTTTTAAAAATTGCTTTTCATTTTATTGAAAAGTCTGTTAGATTGACTTTTTAAGTAATCTGTGACATTTCTAAAGTAAAGGAGCAGATGCTCACTCTAATGTGTATTTTTAAGAAAGACAACTAAAAATCTTAGTTTTGAGAAATAGTTTTTCTTATCATAAGTTTCTCTTCAGGGAATATAAGAAATTCATATTTCAGTTTGGTGAAGGAAATGGAATTTTCTTCCCTTAAATGTTGATTAAGTTATGCTCATAATCTTTCACTCTCTTGTTAGTGAAGTTGAAGATGAAGAAGGTACTCTGTATGATAAAAGGTTTTGGGGATTGTATGGATTATAATATTTCTTTTTCATCATTTTAGCTGCTTCTGGGAGACTTAAGCATTTCAGACTTACAGAAATTCACTTTCTTTACTCTTTCTCTAAAACAGCATTATCCCAGAAGGTTTTTCCCCTAATGCCAGTCTTGAGAAAGATTTCCTAATAAGTGAGTACTCTAAATAGATCAGTATGCCATACTTCAAAGGGACATGAACAACAATCTGCAAGATTTTCTACTTTAGGCATTTAAAGGCTCTGAGAAGTTCTTTGGCTAACAGCTTTGTAACTTTAAGTTTTCCATATGTCTTTAGTAACAGAATCTCTTCTTCTGTGTTTTGAAAAGTATTTTTCTGTGAAACATACTTTGAGAAATAGTCCTATCTGGTGTAAAAAGTAGCCATGTATGGAAGAAAACAAACACAAGAGAGAAAAAACAAATACCCATAGAGAGCCTCTACTAAAATGTTAAGTCTGTTTCCATCTACTTTTTTCCGTGCACTGATCACGCTGGTTATGTTCTTTTATTTCTTCCTTTTATCACTTAACATCATGAAATTAGCATGTTATCATGTAATTCAGAATTCTTTCAAAGAATGATTTTAATCATTGCATGTTTCATCCTATGGTTATATTGCAGTTCACCATTTCCTCACTGTTGTTAATTGATTGTTTCCAATTTTTCACTGCTATAAGTTACACTGTAGAGAATTAATATCTTTGTACAGAAAGTCTTTACCATACTTCAGATTATTTCCTTATGATAGATTCCTGAAATTATTATTGAGTCAAAGGGTATGAGCTTTCTTCAAGGCTTTTTATAAATAAACACCAAATTATTTTTCAGGAGAGCTGTTAATAGTATTATAGTTCTTCCAGCAACATAATCTCACAAACATTATGTATTAACATTAAAATCTCAACACATTTGAGAGCAAAATGGTATATCTTTATTTTGTTATTTTTTAATAGTTTGTAAAGTTTGATATTTTTAAAGCTAGTACTAATGCTGTTCATTAATTTTGCGGATTTTGTTTTTCATATATGCTAATTTCTCAAACCACAATAATTGTAGTGTCACAAATATGTAATTACACTTAAATATATAAATATACTTGTATACTTATATATAAATTAAAAATATATAAAATTATATCAGATTTGTCATGTGATAGAGTAACTTTAAGGAAGTATACAGTTTCAATGATTTTATGACTCATTTGATGATTATTTAAATATATAAACCCATGGAGCTAATTTATTTTGCATCTAGTGTCAACTATTTGACATTTTATTTTGAGTAAGTCTGTTTTTTATTTACAGAATTACATTTGTGTTTTTAATATGTAATGGGCTCAATTCTGGAATTTTGAGGGTGTGTTGTCCATCTTTTTTCTGACTGCTTGTCTTAGTTTGGGTCCTTGCACTTGTGCAACTTTATCAGAAGGCAAGCAGGGCAAACAGATTCAAGTATCAGATTTTAAGATCTTTTGTGAATTCAAGATTTCAAGCAGTATTTTTTGTAGAACCTTCTGTCCATTAAGTATTTTAGGACTCATTATTATTCTGTGCTTCCTCAACAAAAAAAGTAGTTGGACTCCAAAATTAATGAAAACTAGCCATTCTGAGATTCTTGTTGTTACTGCTAACATTGGTTAAGAAGTAACACCGGGGCGCCTGGGTGGCTTAGTCGGTTGGGTGTCCAACTTTCGCTTAGGTCATGATCTCGCGGTTCGTGGGTTCGAGCCCCGCGTCGGGCTCTGTGCTGACTGCTAGCTCAGAGCCTGGAGCCTGTTTCAGTCTGTGACTCCCTCTCTCTCTGACCCTCCCCTGCTCACGCTGTCTCTCTCTCTCTCCTAGAAATAAATAAAACATTAAAAAAAAAAAAAAAGAAGTAACACCTAGAAAAAACTGAGAGGCTTGTTTTCATAGACATAGGATATATGTATTTTATTCCTTTTGGAAACTTGGTGATTGTTAAACATCGTATTCTTTTTATAAATTGTTATTAAGTTGCTAGAAGGGTTTCATGCACCTTTAAGTGTCCAGATGAAAACAGAAACCATCCTAGTATGGCAAGCTTCCAATAAGCTTGGGTGGTTTTAATAAGTAGATCCTTTGCGATTACATCTTATTGTGAAATTTCAATGAAAGGAAGATTCCACTGTTCTGTACTTGAACTTGTTTCCTTTGCTTATTATAACAACCCTATAAGCTAAAAGAGAAATTTGATAGTCTATTTGAGAGTACACATGGAAAGTTATGCAATTTAACAGAGTATAATTCTATATTGTAATAACCGAATGTTAGCATCCATTGTAGCTTCTCATTAGGCTAGCCAATTATTCAGTCAATGCTTGCCCTAACTAATCAAATTAGTGGTTACTGGAAAATTCAGTTGCTGCTAAAAATGTTGATTGGAGTTCATTATTAGGTTATACTCCTAGAGATCAAATATCCTATGCTATCTTTTTTTTTTTTTTAAATCGGTGATCTGTTATCTCTGTAAATAAAACAGTCTCATGGTTTGTAGCTTAAAATTGTTATCACATATTTACTTACTCTGGTTACATTTCTTGAATTTTGCACTTGATACATTATCTATAGTCTTTTTTTATAAGAAGAGTCACGTTGGTTCTGGCACTATTATAATATGTACCTTAAGACTGGGTAAATAGCCTTTAAATTACTAGCTTTCCCGTTATCCTTGACTTACAACTTGTATATTGTAACATATAAAAACTGTTGACCAGCTCTATCCTGTATAATTTACGTACTCTAAACTTTGAAATATCTCATCTGAAAAATGGGGATAATGATAGTTGGTATTTTGGTTATTTGTCATGATTATATGAGATAATTGCTCTAAATCATTTATTGTTACTTTTAGTCCATGCTAACCAAAAAGACAATAATAATACAAAAAAGCGTATACTGAAAATAGTTCATTTAAATTTTTAAATAGGTTCTGTGCTTGGATTTTTGCCTTTCTTGTTCTCTCCTTTCCACGCTCATTACTGATGACCTGTTACATGCCAGGCACAGTGCTGATATAGACACATAAATGGGACATGGGCATTTCCTTCACTGAAATTATAGCCTAATGAAGAACTTACAGTTAGGTTTTAGTATATCAAATATATTAACTTGCATAAATACTTAAGAATACAAATACAAACTAAATACTCATTCAGTGACTCAGTTCAACCAGAATTTTTTCAGTACCTTCACAAAGAGACACAATACCCTGTGCACGTGTTCATGGGTGTTAGGAGAAAAGGCAGGTACTATTGGAGATAGAGGTTCAGATAAGGTATTTCAACTACCCAGGGACGAGAAAGCCATGTTTATTATACTTTTCCCTTTTGAGGGAGAATAACCTTAATTGAAAGCTTAAACATGAGTCCATTAAGAAACACGATTGGTGTTTGTCTTTCCTCATTTGAGTAAGTAGAGAACAAATGAATACTTAGTGTGTAAGGATGTTGGTACTTGCAGCATTTTGAGTTACACAAGTTGATTGATTAGTAGATTATGAATAGTTAAAACTATGAATTATGAAGCTATAAATTCTGATTGATTTAATATATTAACGTATATACTAATAAAAATTCCATTAATTAGATGTTTGCAAGAACTTATGTTCCCCCCCCCCCTTTTTTTTCCCCTCTTCAGGGCCTCTGCCACACCCAAGCCTGAGCCAGTTCCTGTTCAAAAGGTGTGTTTCTCATCTAGTATCACTAGGTACCACTTGATAGTCCTTGCTGAATCACTGTCATTTCCATTTCCTGTCTTGGGCTGTAGTGACAATTTATAGTTTCAGTACAATTTTCCTCACAGTTCTTTTCCTTTAAAGATTTGGGGAGGGGGGATGGAATCTTAAGTCATATATTTTAAAGAAAATAAGTAAATGGCTTCTGAAAATGTCTATCACAAGTCTTAGATAACATTTTATTAGTAATATGAATAGATTTTTAATTATATTTTCAGAGTATTCTGGATTAGGTTATTGGCAAGTACCTTTTTTCTCATATATATAAGAGGATATATATATATCCTCAAAATATCCCAAACCATTATTCATATACAGCTGGTTTATACTTTTGGGGGTTTTTCCCCTTTATTTTACTTGTGCCTTTTTATTGAACTATTTGTATTGATGTGCTGAGACATTAAGTTACTTCCCCACCCCCCTCAATTATCTTTATTATTTCTATAAGGTTAATTTAGATTACTTATTTTTTTAAACATAATAGAACCACCATTGTAGGTTTTTTAAAACTTGATTGTTTTTTCTTTTGTGATGTTACAGTGAATAGGAATTTATGAATGTCATTGAAGTTTAATCTTTTTTTTTTTAACTTTACACTTTTTTTGGAATAGGGGTTTGCAAATACAAATTATGTTAATTTTAGGAGGAATTGACCTTTCTTTGTAGTTAATTTTTCTTTGACGAGTGGCAGTGAGAAAACATCTAAGATCATTTTTTTCCTCATGTAACTATTAATTATTTATTTTGGAAAAGGGAAAGAATTTTATCCTATCTCCAAATAATACCTCAAAACATTCCAGAGAAACAGGTGAATTGTTGAGATTTTTCTTTTTAGTAATGTCTTCATTCAAAATGATTCATTAGAATGTGCATATTTCTGAGTTAAATGAAAATGGTCTTTTTTCTTCTCTTTTAATATTTTTTTAAAAATTAATCCTTAGAAATGTGCTGCTGTTTCTGAATGAGTCAAAATTAGACTCTGGAGAGTAATTAAACATGTTTGAAAGATGAAATTATAATCAAGACTCTGGTTATTTTAAAACAAATATTTTAGTTAGCGATGTTTTGTTTATTGTGGGTGTTTAAAATTTTTCCTTTTGGAAAATGTGAAGTGTTCATTGACACGTATGATGACGTGTTTAGTCTTTTTGATAGTATGTATGATGACGTGTTTAGTCTTTTTGATAGTGTCCTACTCTTAGTTCCTAAATATTTTGAAACTTACTTCATTTAAAATATGCTCATTGTGTGCATCGTGTTATGCATGTTGGGACCAGTTGGCATGCATGTTATGCTCATCATTTTTATCTAGAAATGTGTGAAGTTTGGGCTGCTAACATGATTATGTTTGTCTTTTAAAAACTAGCTTTGTGTTCTTTTCAGTGAATCTACCTTGCATGTATTTGGTGTGTTCTTGTGTATGTTTATTTTTATTTCACATAGGGAGAACCTAAAGAAGTAGTTAAACCTGTGCCCATTCCATCTCCTGCTGTGTCCAAAGCCACTTCCACAACCAACACGGCCTACAATAAGGCACCGCGACCCTTTGGTTCCGTGTCTTCACCAAAAGCCACATCCATCCCATCACCATCGTCTGCCTTCACCCCACCCCACGCGACCACTTCATCACACGCTTCCCCTCCACCCGTGGCTGCTGTCACTCCTCCCTCATTCGCTGCATCTGGACTGCATGCTAATGCCAATCTTAGTGCTGACCAGCATTCGTCTGCACTGAGCGCTGGTAAACCTGCAGTTAATGTCCCACGGCAGCCCACAGTCACCAGCGTGTGTTCCGAGACTGCTCAGGAGCTAGCAGAGGGGCAGAGAAGAGGATCCCAGGGTGACAGTAAACAGCAAAATGGGTAGGTGGCCAAGGGTGCTTTCTGCTCTTATCCAAACTCTTCTTTCAGGCAATTTCCAGGAAATAATCTACATCCCCCACCCCCAAATCAGCTGTTCTTTGAAGGAACGGAGATGAAGTTTCATTTGCTTCATTAACATGTAGCTTTATATTATATACATACAGCACTTTCTGCAAGGCAGTTATAGGTTAATCAGAACCTAAATATGCATTTTGATATGTTATGAACCATGTAACATACTCTGTAACTCTGTCTCCAAGTCCTGGCATCACAAGGAGCAGCTGGCACTTACAATGCAAGGCGGATCTTGAATCTTTCTCAATTTTTCCATCCTTTTATTAGTCACCAAAAGTTTAAACAGACTGGTTAAAGTTGTGTCAGCTTATGTATCTCACCCTAAGGAGAAAGGAAATGAGGAGTTTGAAAAGCTTTTTTTCTTGGGAAGCAGTCTTAAGACAGAAAACGAATTTAGTTTTGACTCATGTCTATGTATGATGCATTAGCTTAGGTCAGATAGCCAGCAACATTCTTTTCAGATAAGCTTAGGCTAGAATTTAGTCTGTGAAAGCAAACAGTAATGGTAGAACAATAACATCAAAGGATGCTTCACAAACATCAGAAGCAAAGTAGAGAATATTTTCATTGTAAAGGTTTTTCTAAAATGAATGGCTTTGCAGAAGTGGGCACTAAATATGTGATGTCGGAAGTTTTTAAAAATCCATTCCTTATGATTTTTCCTTTTTTTGAGGTAGTTTTTAAAATTTGAAGTCCATTTTCAGCAGCCTCCGTTTATAGACGGTCATTTTATTCTTTATGGAATTCAGTGACTGTACTTGAAGCCAAAGTCATTTGTGTAAAATCATTTTGATCAGATTTATTGTGACGAAAATGTACTTTAAAAGGGAAAACATCAGCATGCATGATGGTTTTTACCAATGCCAGTTCCCAGGGAAGTATAATTAAAATAATTGCGTGGATAGGTCCTTTCTGAGGTAATCCCTTCAGAATGTTAATTCATGTAATGAAGGGGCTGTGCCTTCTGTAGCACTGCTGCCATGGCAACTCTGGGGCGTTGAAATAGAAGGTGGCACATCTCCAGGGCTGCTGCTGAGAGAAGGTGTAGGAGGTCTGGAAGAAGAGCTACTGGTCCGAACATACGGTTTTGTGGTTGTGGGCGGCTTTGTAAAGTTTGGACATATATATTGAGTAAAATTAGTGTCTTTCAAAGAAGGTTATTCTTCTTTTATTTGAGGAAAGAAATAGTATATAGTGTTGGGTTGTATTTTTCTGAATGTCTTTTTTTTTCAGACAGTAGATTTTAGAGTAATCAGTAGATATTCTGAAAAGAAAGATGCTGCCTGTCAAATTGTTGGCCCCACAGAAAACTAAAAGCAGACGTTTCCTGTGTTTATGGAATTCCAGTTTCAGTATATAAAACTCCCCTGGAAGAAGTGTCTGAATAAACATATTTTCTCCTTATTAACATATCTTGAAAAAAACTTTTTTAATGTTCATTTTTTGAGAGAGTCAGAGCATGAGTGGGGGAGGGGCAGAGAGAGAGAGGGAGACACAAAATCCAAAGCAGGCTCCAGGCCCTGAACTGTCAGCACAGAGCTCTGTGTAGGGCTTGAACTCATGAACCATGAGATCATGACCTGAGCTGAAGTCGGACGCTTAACTGACTGAGCCACCCAGGCGCCCCAAAAGGATCTTGAAATTTTATAAGATAGTCAGATGGAAATTTAAAGTAAATTGAGGTTATGGAAATGTATACTTCATTTAAAACATGAAAATATGAATGTGAAGCTTAAATTTTTGTTTTATAACTACAGCTTTGATGATTAAACTTAAAATGATTTATTACAGCTTATTATCCTCAAAATGAAAATGTAGGCAATGGCATAGTAATAGGGCCTTAATGATGGCTTTTTAATCAATGGACATGTGATTACTGAACCTGTGCCTGTGTCTAACTCTGTGCAAGATTCAGGAGAAAAGAGGTTATTACATATTTTGCATCATTAACAAGCAAGTTACAGCTTTGCATTTGTAACCTGGGTATATTTAAAAATAGCTTGATTTCAAATGTCATCCAGATGTTGGACAATGAAAACTTGATTACCCTGAAAACAAAATATCTCTGGTGTCTGTGAAATTCTGTGACAAACTTGCAGTGCCATTTCTCTTACTATGTTTAGATTAGAGAGATTAAAAATAAATCAGACACTTTACTAGTCATTGATGTGTCATTTTGATGACGTGTTTTGTGGTATGGACAAGTGCATTTCCTTCATCAGGTATCAAACCTTTTCTGAAATCATAGACTATTTACTAACTATGTGATTAGTATTTTTTTCATATTTCTATATTACAAAAGGTCTGCAACAAAACTCTTTCAAAGTTGAGAGTTGTTACTTTCTATCAAGTACTTTTTATTTTAAAAATAATACATGCCAGCAACCAAAAATTTAAGAATTTGGAAGAGTATAAAGCTAAATTCCTAAGTTTTCTGTTTCCTCAAAGCAGAAAGATTATTAATCTTCAAGTGATTTAAAGTAACTGGCTCATTGCCCAAATTTATATAGGATTAGTAAACATCAGACACAAATATTTATTCATTATGTGTTATTACTAAGAAATATTCATTGTAAAGTATAAAATCTCTAATCGTGCTGATAGTTTTAGAATATTTCTTAATAATACTATGTAAGTGTTCTTGTTCCTTCTTATAAATATAATGAACAAGGCACTTTAGGAAGTTTTTAATCTTCTACATAAACAAATTACCTGTCTTGTTATTTTCCTAACTCCTCTCCCCCCTTACTCTACTTAGAGCAAATTGGGACTTTATCTTCCAAAGCAGAAGGAAAGCTATTTTGCATCAAGTAGTTTAAGTAATTTACCTTTTCCCTTTCCATATGCCCTTGCATTATAATGTGCCACTGCTTTAAACAGGTAAGTCTTTCATGTATCCTTTATTAATTTCAATTTTGTTGGACTGCAATTTCTTCTAACAATTTCAGTGTGTTATTTTGAAGAACTTGGCCTTGGAAGATACAAAAATATAATGATACGGTAGTAATATTTTTAAATGCTTTTCTCTTTACAGAAAACACAAGTGACAAAGTTAGTATCCACATTACTGGAGAGGAAATATGGTGATTTATATATGAGTAAACAGCATGAATGTGTCCAATTTTTGCAAAATTAAGTTACATTTTGCAAAACAGCTATATTTAGAAGAACCATATTTAATGTTTTCATAAGTTTGGTTTGCATTGCTATGTTGTAGTGAATTGCTTTATAGTAAAAAAATAGTCGTGTTTAACTTTTGTCATAAAATATATATGGGGTTTGCTGTGTGGTGGTTTACAAGAGATAATTGGGGAAATGTAGTTTGCGTGCAGTGAGACTAGTAGAAGAGAAAGAGAAAGATACAAGAGAAAGCATAAACAGATGTACCACTACTGAATAATGTATGTATAACTGAGTTGGTTTCCTAATTTGTATAATACACCAGTGTTTCCCAGGTAAAGTCTCTAAGAACCTTTTTGATTTTTTGAACAATGTTGCTGGCAGTTTGAGAATTCTATGTATACTGCTATGTGTCACTGCATAATAGAAAGTTTATACATACCTTTGTTAAGAGAGATGGTTACTGACTTATTAACTGTCACAGGCAGTTAACATAGACATTGGGCAACACGGTGGTATACTTTAAAACCTCGCATTTGTGTCTGTTGGTATTGATGGTAAACTGGCTGGTGATTAATAGCCTTAAAAATAGACAAAAATCACATTAGATAACTCAAATTAATTTCATGTTATGATTATTCTGAGCATGTGCTAAAACTTATTATCACTTTGTAGATTAGAACAGGAAATATGGAATATTTAACTATCTTAGTCAACAGAATTAACAATTAGATTACTAGGACCTTGATTCCAGTGTGGCTGTGGTCCCACTAATTGAATAGTTAGTTCCATGTTATATACACATTGGAATATAGTGCACCAGTGTACTTGTGAAACATCCCCAAACCCTACTTTATTATTTAAATTCTTACAAAGATTTTGACTAGTTACTAAATTCCAGTGTAACAAACAATTTGACTTCCATGTAAAGGGTAAAAATTAGGCCTTGGAAAAATAAATTTAAGCATTTAGGTTAAATATATTTTCTTATTTTAATTATTTTAATTTTCTTTTAATTATTTTTTTACACTTATTTATTTTTGAGAGACAGAGAGAGACAGAGCACAAACAGGGGACAGGCAGAGAGGGAATGAGACACAGAATCCGAAACAGGCTCCAGGCTCTGAGCTGTCAGCACAGAGCTGACGTGGGACTTGAACTCACAAACCATGAGATCATGACCTGAGCTGAAGTAGGGTGCTCAACCGACTGTGCCCCATGAATATCTATTTTTAAATGCAAATGTATTATTTTATTAGGTATTACTGTGCATTGTTCTAAGTGTTTCTCAATGCATTATGTGATTTAATTCAATTTAATTGAATACTGACAGGTTACTTAATTTTCTCAAGTCATGCTGCTTGTAAGTGATTAAGATTCAGGCCTAGGTTTTTTGAAGCCAGTTTGATATGTCTGTGACCTCTGGCTTTTTTCTATTACTTTGAACTGGTATTTGTTTTTAAATGGGTTGGGGCAGTATGGATGAGTAATATGGATAAACTACAGTTGGGTTTGATAGTACTTTTTTTTTTTAACGAGCAGTTAGGGGATCTATCCTGACAACAAATCTGTTTGTATGGTTTGCAGAGTGCCTTCAAATGTATTAAACATATGCCCATACAAGAAGCCTGAAAGAAAAGGAAATTGTAATCCATGTCACTGTTGAGGAAAGAGGCGTCTGTAGATTGCACCTTGTTCAGGACACAGGGAAAGTGGCAGCGTAGCCAGGGTGAAAAGTCTGGTCTCCTCATGCTCACATTGGCACAAATGCTGTTGTGGTATATGATGGGCCATTCCTCTCGGGCACATAATTTGAAATACATGAAAATATTTACTTGACATATACAAATTGGCATCTTTAGGTTGAAACCAGACAAGTCTACACCTGCTGCCACTCACTAAGCATAGAATGTTTGCCTCCCAACTTCATGTTAATATAAAACTTTTCCCCTAAACTTTAAAAGGTTTAAATATCTAAAATTCAGTTCAGAGGAGGTTATTTTCAAAAATGACTTCCCGGCTATTTAAAATAGTAACGCACAGGAAAGAAAGCTTTGCATTGTGGCTAGAGAAGAATAAGTATCCGTAAATACTGAGATCAGCGTAACTGCAGCATCCCACCCCTATTCACTGAAACTCAGCCCTCTGTTGAGTTTATGAAATTGACTTTGATATAAATGAAGCAAATATAGCTACACTGCCGGGCTTAGTATTAAAACTCTTAGGCAGTTTTTGTCATTAGGTTCATAATGAATTACTAGGTACTCTGACTAAATTTCATTGCAGAAGGATTGATTTAAGAGTGTTTTTACAAGCTATGTAGAGTTTATACTTCGCTCTTCTCTCTGCATAATGGAATGTAAATATACTTGTTTTTTAATGATTGCATGGTTAATAGGCTTGTGGATGAATTACGTTTTGAGGTTTTCCTTCTTCAGATGTTATTAATGTAGTTCCTTTACTATATCATATCAGACATGAGTTTCTGAGCAGTAAGTAGATCACTGATAATCTAAAAGTATGGGTTCCTACTAATTTGTTCTGAAGTTACTGGGATTTGCTTGTGAATAAGAGTGGTGATAATGACGGACAGAAGAGACTTGAAAATTGAGTGAGAGCCCATTATTTATGATCCAGTATGCTTCTTATACTTTATATTATAATCACATTTTTATTTAAATTTTTTTAAAATTTTACTAATTTTTTAAGAGAGAGAGAGACAGCATGAGCAGGGGAGGGGCAGAGAGAGGGGTAGACACACAGTCTGAAGCAGGCTCCAGGCTCCGAGCTGTCCGCATACAGCCTGACACAGGGCTCGAACCCATGAACTGTGAGATCATGACTTGAGCCAGTCAGACATGTAATTGACTGAGCCACTTAGGTACCCTTATAATTGCATTTTTAAAAAATAAAATAGTATAGCATATTATTTTTTGTAATACATGATTCAGGATAACTTTTTTGGCTTTTAGGTTTTTATTTTAATTCCAGATACAGATAGTTAATGAACAGTGTAATGTTAGTTTCAGGTATAAAATATAGTGATTCTTTTTCTTTTCTTTTTTTTTTTTTCTGGCTTTTTAACTTTTTATTTTAATGATTCAAGATAATTTTGGTTAGAAGATTACATTTGCTATTAATACATACTTCATATATTATGTGAATGAAAGACTTTCTCTTATTCTGCTCTGATTTTAAGTGATTCTAAAATGTTCTGTTTCTGCATATTACATCTAAGAATCATTTTATTCTCTGCCTTTTATTAGGAACGTAATAGGAATTTGGATTCCTGCTATAAAGAATTTATATAAACCTAGAGATATCTTTAAATAGTGGATCTTTCTCTGTATAACAGAATTTTGACTAACATTTGCTCGTTTTTGTCTGTGTTTACATGTTTATTTTGAAGCATGATGTTTGTGTAATATCTTCTTGTAAGTTAATTGTTTTAAATTTCACTGTTTCATTCTTTGATTTCTGCTCATCTTTTTTCCCTTTCTTTTCTTTGCCTCACCTTTGTCTATTTTCCATTATCCTGGGAACATCAATGTCTTCTCTACTCTGTCACATCTTTTTTGTATGTATTACTCCTCCTTCAGCAACCCTGGCACAGTGTAAGTACCTAATCAGTGGTTCCTTTTGTAATTTTCATCATTGTCTCTCTGTAACTTTCTATCCTGCTTTCGTTTTAATATCCCCAGCAACTTTATTAGTGTCCTCTCTTTGCAAGAATTTTCACATATATGTTATAAGGAGCCTAGGAAACATGTTTTCCATGCTAGAGAACTTCATTTAAATCAGTGTGTGTGTTTTCCACTTCTGCAGTGGAAAAACTTAGTAAGCTGAACCTTCAGGGAGGTAAGTATTGTAGACAGTGTATGCTTGAGTTAGTGACCTGATTTGGGCCTCCCTTGTTGAGTTTTTTTTTTCTAATTTGAATAAACTTGCTAATTGTGAATATCTACATTTTGAAATAAAATTACTTGTTCTTGATAGTTAAATTTATGTTCTAACCCAAATATATTTTTAAAGATAAGATAATTGGGATTATTCTCTTTAATCATAGTCATAAGCACTCAGAGTTTAGAAACTTCATGTCATTTAACACAGAGCCTTAAACTGTAGTGAATATCACAGAGTCTCAGGTGTACCATGCTTTCTGCAAGTATGTCATGGCTAAGAAGTGTTCTTAAGTGGTGTCATTTTATTATTCTTAGTGTATTTCTTCTTAGCTTGACACTATTGTTTTGTAGTTTTACAGACCAAATCTTTTATAGAAAATGGTTTTATACTGGAAACTGGTACCACTTAAGAATAAACTACATTCAGTAACTAATTATAGAGAAATTTAAGCTGTAAGTTTCATAGCTCAGTATAACATTTTTCACATAATTGCATAAGGTAAAGTGTTGTCTGTTTAGGAAATTATATCTTCCAAATATAGTGTATTTATGAAATACTCTATGCCTATTATAATTTTTTAAAATTCTGTTTTAAAAAGGGTTAGGTTTTGTTTAATATTAATTAAAAGTAATTAGTAAAGTAATTAGTAAAATGTTAGATATTTCACTTCTGGAATCTTAGAATTCTACCATAAACTATAAATGTCACTAATTTTATGTGTAAATATTATTAATTCTGTTTTTTATGTATGTGGCTGACCCATAATCTTAGAATATGCATTGCAAACAGTGTTTTTACTAATCGTGAAAGAAAACACCTTGTGTGATCATTCCTGTGTATTAGGTACTTTGGAAAGCACTTTACATATATTATCTGTCTTATTTATTCCTCAGAACAACTCTTTAAGGTAGATACAATTCCCTTTTCTCAGATGGGTAAAATCAAGATTTGGAGAAGTTAAATGACTTGCACAAAACACACATTAGGTGAAGAAGGTAGTGCTTGAAACTATTAGCTGTTTGTTTCTAAAGCCATTGTTCATATTAATATCTTATCATGCTCTTTCTGGGCAAAAAGTCTTTCAGTGTACTGAGACAGTTTTGCAGTGTAACCATTAAAATGACAACAGTCAAGTGGCATTCTGTGATAGTGCTGTGCCTTTCTAGCAGTGAATTACACCCAGCAGATGTTGCCATTCACATCTGACACTCTTTGAGCCCTCTCTCTACTTAAATCTCAGTCTGCTAGTCTAGAGTTAGACTCCTTTTTCTCTCCCGAAATTAGACTCCTAGACTCTAAAAATTTGCTTTTGTCATATTTGGGGACAGGGGTGGGTAGGGGAAGAGAACAGAGTATTCATTACATTCATTCAGTAGATTTTGGGTTAGAATGTTAATATATAAATTACTTAACATTTATGCTTTGTTAATAGAAAAATGAATGTTCTCAGCAAACTTAAAGTTCTTGGGCTCTGTAGTTTACAAAATCCCTTTCACATGTATTATTTCATTTAATGCTCGAACAGTGCTACTTTGTATGTGATATTCTTATCTTATAAATGAAAAAAAACGGGCCCAGTGAGATTGACTTGTCCAAAATCACACATCTAAAAGGTCACAGAGTCAAGATTTACATCTTGGTGTTTTGATAAATATTCCATTAGTTTCTGATATACTACACTCTTTATTCTCCGTGCTCACCCCGCACACAACTTTATTTAGGACAAGGGATATCTATACACAGGAATAAGAAAACTGTAGAAAGTAACAGTCCTGACCCTTTTCAAAATTGTGTTTGGAATTGCTGTCTTAGCCTGTGCTAAAGCATTCTTAGTTCCTGGGCCTAGTGAAAATTTGTTCATTTAATTTTGTAAAAACCAATACATTTTGGCAACCTGTTGATATTTAACAGTGGTTGTGAATATAGTCCATATCTGTGTTTTGTTAGGCGTAAGGTAGATACAAGAACAGTACAGTTAATTTCAAAAAAAATGTTAACTGCCGTGGACTATTCAATTCTCCTTATTTTCCTTCTTTTCTGTTCTTTTCCTTTTCTTTATGCTTGGAATCTCTCTTCTGCTGCCTTCTGTCAATTAAAAGGAAAACCCCACCTAAACGGTAACCTTTCTCTTGAATAGTTATATGTACTATTATTTTATGTTAACATATAAATACCTTTTTTTTTTTTTTACTAGTTAAAGAAAAAGCAGGTCTACTCTATTTTAGAAAGATGCTTTTTTAAGAAAATTGAGGCTAAGTGCACTTGGAAAAGCATAAGATATAAAAAAGAACACTGATGTTAAATGTTTTATAACTTATTTGGCAGAGGGTATTTTATTCTTAACTTAAAAATGTTTAATTCTTTCTTTCCTTCTTAACCCTAGCCCACCAAGAAAACATATTGTGGAGCGCAATACGGAGTTTTATCACATACCGACTCACAGTGATGCCAGCAAGAAAAGACTGATTGAGGACACTGAAGATTGGCGTCCAAGGACTGGCACGACTCAGTCTCGTTCTTTCCGAATCCTCGCCCAGATCACTGGGACTGAACATCGTAAGTGAATACGTAGAGATTCTAATAGATGAATGTTCTTTGCCATAGAGAATAGCATTTAGACAGATGGGTGATTATTAGAAAACAGTAATTTTCCTGAGGCCGTTTACACTTAAAGCATGCCATGCGCAACGTGGATAGTATAAATAAGAAGCCACGCCCGGAGAGTCACACTGCAAAGTGTTGCTGCAGGAGCAGCACTGACTAGTATGTGGCTGGTGACAGCATCATAGGGAATGTTTCTTAGTGGCTCTGTGCAACTCGACCATTTGGTATCAATGGGTACAGTAATTGCCTAAGTGATTTTTCACGTTAAAAAAATGTAAATTAATAGTGGATATTGCTTACTATTTTTCAGTGAAAGAATCAGAAACTGAAAATACAAAGAAGGCAAAGTAAGTTGTCCATTTTTTTGGCAAATTGAATGCTTTCCTTTCATGAATGGTCTCAATTTCTTTTTTTCATATTTTTAAGTGTAGTGATATGGCATTTTGTGTTTGTAACTAGAAGCTAAGCATTTAACTTCAGTGGCTTTTGTGGGACCTAAATGTGAGACTTAAAATTAGAAATTTTTAAATTAGTAGATATTGTCTGGATTTCATGTGTAAGGTTAATTTCCTTTAGTATTGAAATAAGTGGGCAGAAGAGTATATTTGGGGATGCTTTGCTAACACTACAGATCTCTGTGAATGAGTTTATGTGTTGTCGTGTAGTAACTTCATTTTGGGCATAAAAAAGGATGTTTCCAAGAGGGCTCTATAGATTAATTTCTGCATTTATTAAAAATGCTCTACCCTTAAAATCTTTACTATTAAATACAACAGCTATATGAAATTAAGCTTTGATAAAGCATGTTTTCTGCATGATGAGCTAAGCGTAGAAACTTTTTCTTTCTCTTTCTTATGACTCTTCTGTCACTTTTCTTTTCTTTTCTTTTCTTCTTTTATTTCCACAGGGAAAAGATACCCCTTCACGTCTTTAGTCCCAAATACACAAAATTACGTGACTGGCACCATGAAGTTTCAGCACGTGCTCTTAACGTACAGTGATTTATGAGTCTTGCCCCCCGCCCTAAGCAGCCAGCACATACCTTTTCATTCACTTTTTCTTCTTTTCCAACCTCATAGCAAAATCTGTATTAAATTGCCTTACAAAAAAAATAGAAACCTTTTCTATACTTTTCTAACCCTTTCTTGCTGTTGTGTGAAAAGGAGGAAGCTGAATTTGTTTTGTGCTAGTCAGTAGCTCACAAATGTTAAACGAAGAGAGCAGATTAAGGGACTGGATCTATTCAGTGGATTTCCATCTATTGCCGTTGTTATTAGGATAGTGACCTTGGAAAAGGAATTCTTCCTGTAAGTTGAATTTGGTTGGTTGTGTGAAGCAGAGACAGATGAGCAAATAATGTCCTCGTCTAATTTGGAAAATACTTCCTTTATGTTATTACATGTCCCAGGATTACTTATGAATTTATTATTACATACTGTTCAACATGGATTGTAAATTACTCTAAACAAATGTGAGGAGATGAGATAAAACAGAGAAGACTTTATTAGAATAGAGTTTATTGTAGATTTGGGTATTTTTTTTAAAGCAGGTACTCAGGATGGCTATGAAGAAGAGGAGGCCCAAATTTGTCTCCTAATAAGGGAAAGGAGAGAATTCTGCCCCTATTTGCAATAGGGAAGTAGAGTGTTCTTTTGGTTTGGTTAGTTTCAAAAATCCTACTTTTTGTCAAAGGAAATATTTCTAAACTAGTGGATGTTTTTAGGGTATAAACAACTTCTAGGTGTTAACTAGTAAGAAATAGAAAAGGTAACTTTGCTTTGTTTTTAAATGAACATAAAATAAGTTATAAATGATTCTTTCTGTGACATCAGAGAAGTATTTTACTTAGTGATATAAACAATTGTGTGTTCCTGCTGTTCCTAGGAAACTATGTTTTGGGCAATACATGCAAGCTGACATCTGACTAGAAATGCTTTGTTTTGTAATATAATGTATTATATATTAGTTATACATTCAGTAATAAATGCACTTTGAAGTTTGGAAAAGTACTGTAATAAAGCTGTCTTTAACTTAGCTTTGTAATTGTTTTCTGTTTGCCTGAAGCTAGTAACTGTCATTCAAGACTTGGTACATGCCACTTACATAAAATAAATAATTCTCCTGACATTTCATTTGGAAAACATTTTTAATTTTGCAAGGCCGCTGAAATGAGTGTGGAATATGACAAAGGCTTGTATTTGTTTTTGTTTTTTTACCTGAATTGTCATGTTACTTAACATGATACGTGAGTAACAAGACGATTAGTTAGACTGTGGCACAATATAGCATTAGTCTTTGTGGAAAATGATTACTGAGGGATTTTGCCTGCATTCAAGGTACTTAAAAAATTTATTTTTTATAAGTAAGCTCTATACCCAATGTGGGACTTGAACTCCCAACCCTGAGATCAAGAGTTCCATGCTTTACCAATGAAGCCAGCCAGGCGCCCCCATTGAAGGCATTTGTATTTTGCAGGGTTTTTTTGTTTTCCACTTTGATGTCACCATAGACTAGGTCAACTCCCTGATAATTTGGAGAAACTAACAGTTTCAGTTAGTGATTGATTATGATGTAAAATTTAGCACACCAAGTTTATTTAAAAATAATTCTAAGATTTACCTATGCTCATTTCCACTGTACTTCATAATATTCTAAGATGTCTTTTACTGTAGGGGTTCTTCAGATATGCTTTGTAATTTTATGATCCTGACATCAATCCATTATTACTGTGTCTCTGGCCTCTGTAAGAAAACAGACCTTCTTAGACCAGGCTTTCCTATACCTAATAATTCTCATTCGTCTCAAAAGGTGATATTTGAAAGTAGGTGGAATCAAATTCTCATGAAAATAAATGGTGGAATAAACACGGTATTTCCCACCAAGAGCCAAATTTCCAAAATAACCACAGAGTTGAGAGAGAGAGAGCATTTAGAATGTGAGTTTTAAGTAAATAAAATAATTTCCCCCTAATAAAGACAGGAGAACATGTATAGAACTTTATACCTTGAAATAAGTATGGTTGGAAATAGAGTTTAATACCTTCCTAATTTTAAAAAAAAGTAATGTCTCATTCAAAGCATACACTTAGCTAAGTGAAGGATCTGTATTTGAGTATGAGTGTAAATGTTCAGTCTAGATCACAAAGGACATTCCATTTGACCCCGTCAGAGTTTGAATTCCTGCGTTAAGTTAATCTTCTGGGACATCTTATATTCTTAGCTTAAAAGCTAGCCAAATATTGTAAAAGCTCCTTGCAAAAATATTATTGTAAGTCTGGTGACCTAATTTATAGCTTGTTTTTGTTTGTCTCTCTTATACAGACTTTCTTTATTATAGGCTTGTTTTTAATGTAAAATTTGAAAGTTAAGAATTTTCAACACTTTTACAAGGTTTTACCAGTCAGAAGATGGGATGTTCCCACAACATGATTATTTTTGTTACCTGGAAAAATATATTGTTTGTGGAAATAGAAATATACTCATTTTGTACATCATTATGCCCTTTTGGAAGACTGAGATAAAAATATTATAGAAAGCTTATTTAATAAAAATTATGATATTAAGGTAGAGAGACTAGCTGTCCCACCTTTTATTCAAATTTATTCAGAAATTTGGATGAATTGATTTCCCCAGATGAAAAAGTTCATAATTGTTGCATTTCTGATGTATATTTAAAATCATATAAATCACAAATACTCGTTTATTGCCTAAGTGAAATTATTCTTTCACATGAATAATTACTAAATACTTAAAGGCAAGGCACTGATATGGACTAGGGATTAAATAATGAGTAACAGATAAATATATAAGCGAGGTGATCTGAGATAATTGAGTTATTAAGATAAATTAGTATAAAGGAAATTTGGCTTAGGGAAGGATTACTTAAGTTGTGTGGATCTCTGAGGAGATGATGTTAATGCCATCAACTGAGAGAGGAAGAAAGAGTCAGCCATGTGATGACCTGGGGTCATTGTTCAAGGCAGAAGAAACGAGCGTGGAAAACCTGAGGTGAATAGGAATGCGGCAAGTACACAGAACAGAAAGGACGGTGTAGCCAAAATGTGGTATGTGACAGGAAGCATGATATAAAAATGTAATATTTATGCATATAATTTGCATTCTCCATACTAGCTACAGCACTTTTTTAAATTTTTAACGTTTATTTATATTTGAGAGACAGAGTGTGAGCAAGGGAGGGGCAGGGAGAGGGGGAGACACAGAATCCCAAGCAGGCTGCAGGCTCTGAGCTGTCAGCCCAGAGCCTGACATCGGGCTCAAACCCACAAACTGAGATCATGACCTGATCCGAAGTCTGACGCTCAACCGACTGAGCCACCCAGGCACCCCTATCCACAGCATTTTGAATGAGAGGTCGTCTTCTATCTAAACACTTTTTTTTTTAATGTTTTATTTATTTTTAGGAGAGAGAGAGACAGCGTGAGCAGTGGAGGGTCAGAGAGAGAGGGAGTCACAGACTGAAACAGGCTCCAGGCTCTGAGCTGGCCGGCAGCATAGAGCCCGACGCGGGGCTCGAACCCACGAACCGCGAGATCGTGACCCAAGTGAAAGTCGGACGTTTAACCGACTAAGCCACCCAGGTGCCCCTATCTAAACACTTTCAAGAAAAATTTAAAAATAAAGAACCAGGGTGGTTTATCAAAGCTAAATAAAGTACATTCACTTATTAGTGCTGCCCTGGGCATAGGTATCAAGTTAATGCTTTTCCCATTAGAGCCGCTGAAGACTTAGGAAAAGGAGGCATATTGTAGTATATGTTGGTAATGTGTTTGTAGGAACAGCTATAAAACACACATAAAGACATTCAAAAACAAAACTTCCAACATACAGAAATTAGACCTATATCGGGGCATCTGTGTGGCTTAGTCACTTAAGTGTCCGACTCTTGGTTTCATCTCAGGTTATGATCTTGCCATTTGTGAGATCAGCCCTGCATTGGGCTCTGCACTGACAGTACAGAGCCTGCTTGGGATTCTCTCTCTGCCCCTCTCTCTCTCTCTGCCCCTCCCCTGCTTGCTTGTGTTCCTCTCTCGTAAAAAACAAAACAGAAAAAACCTTTTTAAACAAAAGAAATTAGACATTTTATTCATAGTTTAGTGATGAATTTGACAGTTTAGTTCTGTCTATAAAAACTTACCAAGAATTGGTTGAACTCATTCCTTTTTATTCATCCCATTCAAGAAAATTACTTAAACTGAGTAAATATTTCTTTGGTCATTCTGTCCAAAATAGACGTCACTACTCCAGGATAGTAGGGAGCAAGGAGTGATAAATTCTGAGTTTGAGACTCCCGATTTGTAACTAACTCTCTGGTTTCTGCCCCTGAGTTT